CGAATACGCTGCCTTGATCCAGTCACACCTCGACCATCGAAGAAGAAGCAACAGGTCTCGTCGCTCCGGAAAAAAAGAAAGATTTTTATTTAATTTCGGTGAGTGAGTGAGTTTTATTCAATTTCAGCCTGAGCGTAAGTCGGTTTTGTTATCCTGCGTGCCTTAGAAATACAGTTTACGACAATGGTACGCTGTCATCGTCGTAAATATATGAGATTAATTTTAGAAGTTATGTTTTTTTTCTCCCACTAAAGAGGCTTTTATACCCGAGAAAAACTACATATATGATTTTTATTTTATTCATGTCATCGCTTTGTTTTGGATTTATTACTAGCTATGCCGTGAGAGATAGAGAAGAAAAAGTAGATATTAGATAAAGACCTTGATATTGTTATCAGAATTAAATTAGGCAGTTTTAGTAACCTTCCTCTTTTTTAGAATAATGTTTTTTTTTTCAGTGAATATTGTAAAAAAAACAGTGCATTTGTGATCTGAATTTACAGATGAATGCGTTAATGATGCCTAATAGGATTATTATCATTGCTATAATTAACTAAAGCCGCTAAAAATACACACAGGAGATCGTGAGTATCCGATTATGCAAATGCAGTAGATTTTCAGATGTAGACTCGTTATGGTCAATTATCTTTAATTAGCAAGATTTACAGTGAGTGCTCAATTGGCTGTAGGGTAAGCTTAGTCTACTTTCATTTTCTAGTGGTTACCTTAGCTTTTCTCTGTGTCTATGCAGTCTTCATTTAAAGCCCATATGCATGATTATTTGTTCTTAAACCCATACTGACCGGTTGAGAAAAAAAAAAATTCTACGCTCTGGAGATTTATGGCAGAGAGCCGACTTTGAGCGAGGGGGTTTGCTACATCAAGCTGAACCCCGCGCTTGTAGTGCTTTGGCGCATTGTTGTGGCATACAGCTGCACTCCACAGATTTAGAGGTTTGTTATGACACCTCAGCGTGTGGCCTGTCGGTATGGGGCGAAGGAGGAGAGTAGAGGAGGGAATGCCTTGCTGATTTTGCACTGGGGTAATTCTTAACAAATGACTCATCTGTAAGTGGATGAATGACTCATCCGAAGTGGATAAAATTGGGTAATTCTTTACAGTACAGATGCAGTCCATAACTCTATGTTATAAAACTAATTCAACAATCTAAGTTGCTATGACTGGGTGTGCCCCGAGGAAGCATGTCCTCATCTCAGTATGCACGGCAAGATAGAGCTGTGGACAAGTGGACTTAGGCGTTCGGCGATGATTTCCATGACTTTTTCCTTTATTTGTGGCATTATTGTTCATGTCTGCAGATTAGTTCTAGTACCGATGACTAACTTTTTGTCCTTCATGAGAATATAATTTTCAATTTGCCCTACCTTAGTGTGTAAAGATTAACCTGATATTGTAACATAGTTGCAGATCTTGCACAACAGAATTAAGGGTATAGTTGTGCTATAGGATGTATAAAAGAGTTAAACGATAAAATTGACTTACCTGTGTTTTTTGTCATGATTGGAATGAATATGAATTTCATTTATATTATTATTTTGTTTTTGTTTTTGTCAACAGCTTTTGTCATAGAAGAATGTGTTTTAGAGTTTTTTTGTTTTTTTTTATAAATCTTAATTTGATATTCTCCCTAAAGTCCAAAATGTAGTACTGAATTATTCTTTCTTCTACAGCCAATTTATAATTTCTTGTAACTAATCATATAGTGAGGGGTTTGTGGTTTGGATCCCTGCCCTTTTCCTTAAAAAACAAAAAACAAAAAAAACTTGGATATGAGTAACTCCCCATCAGATTAGTTTATGATATGTTCCACAAGAAACTCACGAGGCCCTAACTCTCTCTCAATATCACCTAGGTGCTGACCACCAGACGGCAACATGGGGTCGATCTTCCGTAGCGAGGATATGACCCTGTGCCAGCTCTTCCTCTCCAGTGAAGCGGCGTACAACTGCGTCTCAGAACTGGGAGAGATTGGCTTGGTGCAGTTCAGGGATGTAAGTTTTTAATTTTGGGTTTCATTGATTTACTGTTTTTTTTTTTTTTTTGATGATTTGTATGGCTGAATATAGATCAGTAACATGTAATTGATGTTTTTGTCCATTATATGATGATTTGATAATATTCTTGTGTGATTTTATTGCTGAAGGAGTTGGGAGAACATAATGAACATTAATTGTGGTGCTTTCTGTTATCAATTTATTCCTAATATTTTCAGTTCCCCAAGGAAATACATGGCTAAGTTATATTGTATAAGGTTGTATTTCTTCCGAGTATATTCAAGTAATTTTTTGTTATAATTTCAGCTTAATCCAGATGTAAACGCCTTCCAACGCAAGTTTGTGCACGAAGTTCGCCGGTGCGATGAGATGGAGCGCAAGTTGAGGTATCTGGAGACCGAGATGAAGAAGGACAACGTTGCCATTCTGGACAATGGCGAGAACCCAGAGGCACCCCAACCAAGGGAGATGATTGATCTGGAGGTAAGGCAGATCGGAGTATTTTTTCGACGCTCAAAATACGTACGATAGTTGTTATGGTGGTTGTTGTTGTTTTTCCTTGTTCCTTCCTCTATTCTGATTGACTCTCAAATTCCTTCTCCAGGCGACATTCGAGAAGCTGGAAAACGAGATGAAGGAAGTCAACTCCAATGCCGAGACACTCAAGAAGAACTCTCTGGAGCTGACGGAGCTCAAGCACGTCCTGATGACCACCCAGCTCTTCTTTGACGAGGTCGGTGCTTCAAACCCTAATGCCAGAGTCATGTCATTTTTTCTCTTTTCATTTCTCTTCTGGCATTCTCTTACAGTATGCTTATTTGACATGGCAGAGCTTGAATTCCTCTCTTAGCTGATTGATTTGTTGTAAAAAAAAAAAAAAAAAAAAACAATTTGCATGAAAGATTCAAAATTGAAGTTTCCTGTTCTTGAATGCGACTATTTTTAAAGAGTCTTCAGCTAGTATTTTAACTCAGGACTCAGTGCTTCTCTGAAATTGATTTTATAGAACTTGATTTCCTATTATAGATTTCAATAAATACCTTTTGAGTAGCTTTTGATCTTTCTTTACTCAAAGTAAGTTTATATAGCTTCTTGTGTTACATGTGAATACTGAAGTGCTCACTTGTATTCTGTGCATATGAAGCGCTGTGATTTGTGCTTGTGTGATTTTCTAGCTGCTTTCTGTTGTATGTTGCCTGCAATTTCCTGAATTGAATGTATGCTGGTCAGATACAAGATCTTTCCTGTGCATGATGTACAAAAGTATTTCTAAGGAATTGTACAATTGAAACTGAAATTTGCGATGGTGTTTGGAAAGAATGCAGATGGTGTGAGGATGTCTACAGCGTAAACGTTGATTGGTCAGCGTGCATTGACTTGATGCTAACGGCTGATTATCTTTTTCTTCACATGCATGTTTAAGTAAGGGAAATGTGGATATATACAAATACTATCTTGCCACTTTTTAATAAGGCAAATGACCATTTCCTCAAATTTGTTGGAATATATATTAGATGATTGAAAAAAAAAGTCATGAATATAGCTCAGTAGAAAGATTATTAAAGAAAAAAATATTAGAGAAATAAGGAAAATATACTGGAAAAAGAATCCATCATGCGGGAAGTGGGAAGCATACTACATAGTTATAATGAAATATAACGATAACAAGATTAAGTCTTATTTAATTATTCATTTTTTAATTATTTTTTCTGTTGATATGGAATCTTATAACTACATCTCTAAATTGATTTTTTCACAGCCACCAAATGTTAGGTGGTGAGTTGCAAGGTAAGAGTTTTGAGTGGTCATTATATGCATTGCACCTTGCTTGCTAGTTATATATTTTGTTTTCTTATTATTTTAAATTTCTTATATTGTGAGTAAAGTATCCCCTTTTGTTCTAATGCAGAGGTGTTGATTAGCTTGCACTGTTGAAAGGCATTACCAGAATGATGCAAAATTTAATTTAGAATATTGATAAACTGCAATCAGAAACATTTAATTTTTTTAAGTTAAAATGTTAGTTGCTATTCAATTTGGCTGTTTTTTTTTTTGGGGGGGGGGCATGTACCTTCAATCCTCCGAGCACATTTATATTAAGTGAACTTGTCTGGTCCTGCATGTCCACTGGAAATAACGCAGTCTTTGCCTTGCTAAGAATTTCAACACTTGGGATTCCAGAGATGTTGTTTCTGCAATATCATTTCTTTAATCATTTTTATATGATTTTTTTCTTGGTTGTTTTTACGATACTACAACAGGCTAGACTCTCAGTAGACCTTGGCATTACTTGATAATTGTCATATTTCACTTAATTGATGACTCATAGGAAAAAATTTGTTAATGGTGAATATTGGAAGGGTTGTTATGATATCAAGACTCAAATACAAGTCTTTGGATTATACATTAGGATAGTGAATGTTGAAATGTCAGTGTATAGAGTAAAGTTAACAGGGAAAGATTTATGGACAAAGACTAAACTGAACCCATGTGGAAACTTAGAGATGCGGGCAAATTTCCTGTCTTTTATAGTGTTACTTTTATTAACTATAGTTGCTTTATTTCTTTCTGAGTGAATTCTATCCTCTTAATTTGTGCATGATGGTATCTCCTGAGCTTTTACTAACTATTGATTAGGTGCGGTTCACCTGATATTGTCTGTGATGGCAGTTCACTCTCCAAGAAGGTAAAGTTGATAATGTTTCATTTTGTGTGACTTCAGAATGATAGACTTCAAACTTTATTTGTGTTCATAGGAAGAAGTACACTAGAGTAATATTGTTTTACCTGTAGATTTTGATGGAATTTTCAAGAAATGATTTTGGTATGTACAGTTGGAGAGCTAACTGATCATGGAAGACTTGATTGCATGTCCCCAAGTAGTAGTGGAGAGACTTTTTATTTCTTATCAGCAGATGGTGAAATGTTTCTTTCAAACATGTCCTTGAAAGGTGTATTTTGAACTCAAAAGATAAGGTGGTATATTTAGGTGATGGTAATCATGATGACTATAATCATAATTTTTAAAAGAGGTGTTGTTGGTCTGTTCAATTATTTAGGAGTGGTGACAGTTTTAAGGTGTCTTATTTTTTTTTATTATTATTATTGTACATGCAGCATGTCTGTTTGCAAAAAGATTGTTTCCAATTTACATTCAAGCCTTGGTTGAATAGAATAATATTTTTTTTTATCTGTATTACTTATATCTGTATGAAGATAAATATTAAGATAAATATTAATTTTTAACATGCATTGGACAGCTGCTTGTAATATTATAGGTAGACCTATTTACATATATATTTATGTTGTTTCATGAAGAGTTTTAACCAGTGGTTATTGGAAGGAAATGTAACATGTTATATTTTTGGTTTAATAGACTTTAATAGACTTTTGAGGCAACAGGTTAAAGTCCACTGCAGCTGACCCATTGTTCCTCGTCAAAGAGAGTGTGATTTTAATGATTTTAAAAGCTATGTATATTTAGTCCATAAAGCACATTGTTACTGGTGATGATGAACTAGTTTAAGTATTGAGGTTTGACTCTGTATGCAAATCATATACAAATCTGTTTAAAAATTGGAAATTGATAGAATGGGCTTTGATCAGTGGACTTTCATTTGTACGTTCCAAAGGTGATAGATATACGATTACTAATAGTTAACAAGGAGTTAGAATTTTATATTGCCTATCATAATATTTTTGGTAAATTTGGGATTAATATCTACAAGCAATTAATAGGTAGGGATGTAAATAATCTGATTGAACTAATAACTAATCCTTTTTTTGTTTTTTTCCTCTGTATGGTCGTGGATGTGTGGATATGTGTGGATGCGTGGATGTACCTTGGGTGTGCATGATTATTTGGATGTGTGTGGATATCAATGTGAATGAATTTAATGGGATGCATTTGATATTTATGGATACATATATATATACATACATGTGTTCAAATTTTGATTTGGTGAAATATTGAATTAAATATTAATGTGAATATTGATGGTATTCATGATTTGGGATGTCAATATTACATTAATGATTACTAATCTAAACATATGTTATTTAACTTTTCGTTCTTTTTATTTGATCTTTGTTTACAAATACATGTTTACTTTACTGTTATTGATGTATACAATTTTTTTGGTGTTTTATGTTGTAATTTTTGTATAATGAATGGTCCTTTTTTATAAAATATCTGTACTTTTGTAAATGATGTTATTTAAATGCGTGGAAATCTGGTTGTGGCTGTGTGTGGGTACATAATGTGTGCTGTTATGTGGATGGGCTGGAATGTGTGATGTGCTGTGATCTGTATATATGGGGGTGGATATGTACTGTGCCATGGTGTGTGATGTATGTGGTGTGGTGCATTGTGAACATGTGCTGTGCTGTGTGATGTGGATACATGTTCTGCTGTGTGTGGTGTACCTTGGGCTGATGAACAGCACGAGGTACAGTCTACCATGAACATTGAACAGCGTGACTCGGAGCCTAGCACCAGCATCACCCAGAACCTGCTGCCGGCCGAGGAGGGAAAGGGCCCCGTCCAGCTGGGGTAAGTTGCATGGACGGAGGAGAGTCTAAAGATTGCATTCCGTTTGATGTCTGTACTTGAAGTAAAAATCCTTTTGAATTGTTTATAGATTAGATTTTCTGTCTTTTTTTTTTTTATGGATGGAAGTTTTTGTAGGTGATGGCAAGTCCTATGTTTTGACTCTCCCTTGTTTCTAGCTTTGTGGCCGGTGTGACCCTGCGAGAACGCATGCCTATGTTCGAGCGCATGCTGTGGAGGGTGTGCAGAGGCAATGTGTTTGTGCGTAGAGCTGACATTCAGCAACCCCTGGAAGATCCTATTACAGTAAGTGAGATTTTCTTAGTAGTTTTTTAAGTAGTTTTGTTGCTCTGAATAAGATTTGAGACAGCTTTCCAATTCAGATTAAAATTTTGGCTTTCTTAGTATGTTATTTTGGCTAGATTATGCCTTTCTGAACCGAGGAAAGACGTTATGATATTTGTTTTATTTCTTTGTTTATATGCTGATATAAGTGATTGAATTAGCTGTTGACTATATATACTGTGCTTAGTTTTCCCACATTTATGCTAGCATTTATGTCTTTGTATTGTTCTTTCTTTTCTTTGTATGCTTTTCACATTTAAGAATTGATGCTGGTTTAGTCTTCTAACATATGATTATCTTTATAATCTGTTGTGTAAGAGAAAATGTGTGTATATCGCGTAAGTGAATTCTCTTGCCCTTCTTTTGGCATCAGGACTTAGGCATGTCTCTCTTAACCCAAATCCAACTGTGAGTTTACATTATTAATTGTTTTTACACACAAATGGCTACACTTTTACTTGGTAACCAGTGAGCCAATTGTGAGTACTGCCTGTCTCGCCTGTTTACCCTTTTCCTCAATTTTTAGAAATATTTTACATTATCTTATGTTGCTGGTTCCAATGTCAGTAACATTATAGTAATTATGATGTG